TAGGAGCTATTTTGTATTTTGACCGACGTTGGCCATCAAATTGCAATCGGGAACGCACCGCGATAGCTTGCGTGTTATTAGCCACATTATCCGGATATCTGGTGCAGCATCGCCAGGCCGCGCGATCGACCACTTTGCGTTCGAAAACGAAATGTCCAAGACTTGGCACAGTGGTAGAGGACGCTTTGGAGAGTACGGAAAGCGAGGTCGCATCGACGTACGAGGCGTACAGCGATAGCGAGACGCGATCCAAGATGCGCCAAACTAAGATCGTAGTGCCATCTGAGAGCCACAACGCACTCCAAACTAAGATCGTAGTGCCATCTTAGCAGCATCACGCCAGGACGCTGACGTCGCTTGCCGGCAACATCACGTTTGAAATGGAATCGCCCATAGTTGACACAGTGATAGAAGACGCTTCGGAGAGTAGAGCCCACCACGCTAGGTTACCGTTGCCGTCGTACAACGCGCGCATTGCTCGACCACAGAATCAAAGCGCTCTTAAAACGTTAAAATGCAAAGGACCGCATAGGCACACCGTAGTCTTCGTCTTTTGCACTTGTAGCGACGATCTCCTTCCACTGGATAAAGAGTGCGATTCCTAGCCACATTCACACAACTACTAAGTCCAGCGCCATCGCGTCGTGTGGAGCGATTCGAACGAGAGGCTTGTAGCTCACAATGCTCGGGCTTCCGCACTCGCGGTGATCTACAGTATTGTCACAACGCGTGTGATGGGATTCATGGGTCCTCGTATGTCGGAGGAGGTCGCAAAAAACGATCGAATTCCTATGACGTGGCACTCGGAGAATGTCCCATCTTGGCGCAAATGCTCAGTCGTGTAAAAACAAGTGTAAAAGCGAGCACGACAAAGGCGAAACGCAGTGCTTTTACAAGATAAGGATATCAGCCTTGAGCGCTGCTCATTCCGCAATTTGCGCTGCAGGGACTCGGCCGCACGGCACCGCGTCGCACGGCAGGGCGGTCGCAAGCGGGCGTCCTGTCGACTGTGGACGGTGAAACTCGTGTGGCCGAGGTCCTTCTTTCGCTGCGAATCCATGCGATACAGGACGTTGGCTTGCCAGGTAAGCAA